ATCGGCGTGGCCGCCCTGACATCCCCAGGATGGTTAACACGGGGCATTATGCACTGGTTAACAGGCTCGGAGCTGCTCAGCGACTTGTTTTAAGCATTTTCTCCCTCGCTCTCGCTTTTAATCTTGTCTCTAGTGGCGTGTGTAGGGGGGAGGACTTTATTTCCATTGGCTAAGCTCTCCCTTCCCACCCACATCTCTTCCACATCACCTTGGTGTCTCCCTAAATAAAACCAGCCCTCCTTATCGCCTGGAAAAAATCAGGAGCTAGAGTTTGAATGGGTTTTATATAAACACTCACCCCTGTCAGCTTGCGGCTGGGCTCTCAGGATAAACCCACTGCGTCTGGCCTGACGCTTGCCTTGGGTTCTCTCTCTTGAACGTCAAGGTTTAAGCAGCGCTGGAGGACTGGAAACTCTTCTCTGAAATTCGATCAACCTGAAGCCAGTTGCGGAACTGCACAGGTCCCCATGGACCTCAAGGAGAGCCCCAGCGAGGGCAGCCTGCAGCCCTCTAGCCTCCAGATCTTTGCCAACACCTCCACCCTCCACGGCATCCGCCACATCTTCGTGTATGGGCCACTGACCATCCGGCGTGTACTTTGGGCTGCGGCCTTCGTGGGCTCCCTGGGCCTGCTGCTGGTGGAAAGCTCCGAGAGGGTGTCCTACTACTTCTCCTACCAGCATGTCACCAAGGTAGACGAGGTGGTGGCCCAAAGTCTGGTCTTCCCAGCCGTGACCCTTTGCAATCTCAATGGCTTCCGGTTCTCCAGGCTCACCACCAATGACCTGTACCATGCCGGGGAGCTGCTGGCCCTGCTTGATGTCAACCTGCAGATCCCGGACCCGCACCTGGCTGACCCCACGGTGCTGGAGGCCCTGCAGCAGAAAGCCAACTTCAAACACTACAAACCCAAGCAGTTCAGCATGCTGGAGTTCCTGCATCGCGTGGGCCATGACCTGAAGGATATGATGCTCTACTGCAAATTCAAAGGGCAAGAGTGTGGCCACCAAGACTTCACCACAGTGAGTACTTGGTTTTCAGCTTACTCTTATGCTTGGTCCTCTTGAGAAGTGCCACGCTGGTGGTCTCCTGCTTGGTTCAGGGTCTTCCTGTGCTCTGGAGCAGGAGAGCAGTCGAAGGCCAAGAGGGTAGTCGGCCAGAGTTGTTGGAACTGGTTGGCGAAGTCTGCCTCCTGGGATGGAGCACTGTTGTTCGGTCAGACGTGGGGGGGCTTGCCGTGGGGGTTCACTTCGCCAGATGTGCTGAGTTGGCCTCCTCCCAACCAGAGGAAGGAGGCCTGATTTGTCTGTTACCCATGGCTTTCGGTGTCTGAGCTGTATGATTGGAACAGCTTGTCATTGACGAGGTGGCATTTTCTCTCTCTCTCTCTGCTCAGAAGTGCCATCAGGCATTGCATCCTGTGGGTTGGGCTGGAGCTAAAACCGCCAGAGAAGGGGGTGTGGGGCCCCAGGCAGCCTGGATGGTTCCAGTGGCTTTGGGAGCTTGCTGGAGCAGGTGATGCTGCAAAGGTGTGGAAGTCTCTTTGCTCCCTTTTCTTGTGTGGATTCTGAGCTCTGTGTGGGGAGAGGAGAGGCCGTGGACCCCAGGTTTCCGTTGGTCTGGTGGCAGGTTGGAAGCAAAGAGATGGTCAGGGTGCTTGGGCCAAAGACGAGGGTCTAGATGGAGGGTCTAGATGGTCAGAGATGCCTGTGAGGGTGAAGTGTTCCAGGCTGGCTTGTCTGGAAGCTTCAGCTTGAAACCGAAGGGCTTGGTTTGCTGTATGTACAATCACTTAACAACGTGGATGTGAGAGGAGTGGCGTGGGGAGGGGATGAGCAGTTGTGGGATTGGAAAGCCTGGAGGAGTGTGGAGCTCATTAAAGAAGAAAGCAGAGGGGATGTGGTTCTCATTCACGATGGGGCTTCCTGGAAGGGTAGAGCTGTTGCTGCTAGGGTTCTCTGTTTGCCCAATTAGTGGGCTGCTAGGCATAACTTGGCATAACAGGTCAGACTGCAGGTATAGACGACTCCTTGCTACCAGAAAAGTCTGGGGCATCAGGGGCTGTGAGATCCTCGAGAAGCCCAGTGTGACTGCTTCTCCCGTGCTTTCCTAGGGAGAATTGAAAGCTTGTGAGTTTCAGAACCTTCAGCCAAATTGCAATTTTAAGTTTGGAATGGCAGGTGCAGCAGTTGCAAAGGGACTTGTCTCTGTCATCGGCACTTGCCTGGGGGCCATCTGCCTAATTAAGACATACCTACCTTTCTTATGGTGCACCCATTTCCCATCTGCTCTCAGATCCACTGCCTACCGGCTTCTTACTCTGAGTTTTTTTTTTTTAATGCTACAACCAGTCTCTGCTTACAGCCTCTGTGCTTGCTATTGGCTCTCTCTGATTCTGGAAAAGCCCAGAGTGCTGGGGACGGGGGCATCACCTCTTGCACCCTTTAGTGTTTCCTGGGGGACTTGTTTTGTATTATCTGCTTTAAATATTGTGGGGGAAAAGCACAGAAAAATCAATAGTAGTGTATGCTAGAGAGAAAGTGAGTCTGAACTGGGGGAAGGGACCAGCACTACTGAAAGTCCTTCTAAATAGAGCAAACGAGATCCTATATGTCACGCACAAATGATGTCTTAGGTGGCTTGGGGAGAGATGGGAAAAATGCCTCATTCTTGGAGGCTGAAACCATCCCTGTATTCCACCCCATGCTTTCTAGTGCTGTGGCAGTGCTCAGCTTCACCACTGCACCATGCAGCTGGAAAGGCACTCAGCTGTTCCTGTTTGCCTGAACACACATGAAACACACAGATAGCAGAGAGAGGGTGGCAAGGAGAGAAACTGCAGTCAGTAGCAGATCCTGGACAGAGTTCTCAAGCATTCTCATAACTGCATGTCCAACGAATGGCTTCTTTTCAATTGATGACCAAGTTCCAATTCAAAGTAAAGATTCTTTGGCTTTGGGCCGCTGTTTTGCACTTGGCCCATCATTTGAGTTGGTGGGGTCTCAAGAAGCTAAGGATTGGGCCTTAAAGCCTTACCTGAGCCTTTGACCTCTTCAGGATGTGCCTCAAATAGTGAAGTTGCTTTTGGATAAGGTTTATTACTCAGTAAGTGGTATGTCATTATCTGCCATCCTCACCAAGTTCAAGACTGATCTGGTTGAGTGTCCCTCCTTGGACTGACCCTCAGTGTATGAGCTCTCTCTCCTAGGACTGGATAATGGGTGAATCTCAGGGCTGGATCTTCAAGCTGTTCAGGGAGGATCAACAGGGCATCTATTCCATGAAACCTGGAGAAGACCCCAGATGGGAGGGTTGTCTTTTTTACCCATTGATCATCCTGAGCAGCCATGCTGAGCCTCTGCAAGAGGGAACATGATGTCAAGTTTGTTCCAAGACCTTGCAATGAGGAGTAATCCTTCCCACTCCCCGCTTTCTCCCTGTTCCCTTTGGCCTGGGGGATAGGTGTACTTATTCTTGGGCCCCCACACCAGAAGAGAACAGAGAGCTTTGCAGGTGGTTGTTGGAGGAGTGGGCTCACTGGCCTCTCTGCCTTTTATTTTCTTTGCTGCACATCCCTCTCCATCTGATTTATTTACTAGGCCCTACCTGCAGTTGTCCTATGTTAGGTGGATTCTGTCTCTTAAGTGCCATGGCTGACTTATCAGAGAAGTTAAGTATGGTGGAGGGGATGTCACAGGTAGATTACCTTTTCTGTTTTTCTGTTTCACTAAAGCATACCTAGTGCCACCTCTAGGGCTAATGCTTTCACATAAGCTTCCTTAATCCAAGCTCTTAGCTTGTGTGCAATGAAGTGCATAATACCCTTTAATTAGTCAATGAGCATGATTCTAGCAGAGTGAAAGGCTGCTCGTGGAGGTTAAAAGACCCCAGAAAGCCAGGTGTGGAATTCCAATTGCCACACAAACAGGTGTGCCCTATGCTCATGCAGGTACACTCTTAGCTCTCATCTGGGACAATCTGATTTCAGATAGGCACGTGCTTTTCCTTCCTGGGAAAGTAGAAGATGACTTTGATTTCTTAGTGTCTCTTCAGGGGAGATTCCTCTACTGACCTAGAAGGGAAGGAAAGGAAGTGGGAATGAGAATGTCGGACTTGGGGGGGGGGGCCCTGGCCACGATCCAAGGTTAAGATTAGGAGTAAGAAGACATAGGTTTGAATCCCATCTCCATCATTTTCTAGCTTTTTCCCTAGGTCGTAATTTGTACCCTCTCTAGGCCTCGATTTGCTTATGTAACATATGGTAGTAATACATGATTTTTTAACTCACAGCATTGTTGGGAGAATGAACCATGTGAAACGATATATGTGAAAGTCCTTTTGTACATTGTGACAGCTATGCAGATGTAAGGTGGGTTATTATCATTATTAGTAGTTTATTGTCCAACCTACCTGCCCTGTTTGCAGCCCACCATAGGAGTCAGTTGGTGAGTAATGCTAATAAGGACAAACTAGGGAGGGAGAGGTGGCTGCTACTTCTTTTTTGGAGCCCCATGGCAAAGCCTAGTCTTACTGAGATGGGATTTCTTAGAGTGGAGGTCACGGTGGGGTTTAGTAGCTAACTATTGATGACAGATAGCAAACTCACTATTGTGGCTAGCATGTGACTGTTTGATGTTGCTTCTCTGCTCATCACATTGGGGTTCATCTGCCTTCACACTGAGAAATGCAAATGACCCTTCAGTTTGCTTATTTAACCTGATTTCCATAGTTCTGTGTATTTCTACTTTAAAATTGAGATTTCTTAGGGAAAACATTTATTTAACTTACTAGAGGAAAGATCTCTCCACTGAGAACTTGTTAGAGGCATGTCTGTGGATTTATTTATCTATATCTCAGAGTGTAGTAGAGATGTGGAGGTGAGGGTTTAGGAGGCATATTTATTTGGAATTCTTGCACAAAGCTGGTGGATTCATAACTCACCTCTAATTATTTATTACACGAGAAGCAGGTTTTGGGGAGAGATCCGAGTCGTAGTTACAACTGTGCCCCCTATTCACTGTGTAATCTTGGACTTGTTTCTTAATCTCACTTTCCCCACCTCTGAAAAAGGAATGATAATATATGCCACTGAGAGTTGTGGTACTGATCCAGTCAGGTGAGGTGAGGTGTGTCAAGTTCTAGTAATGTGGCAGATGCCAAGTACAGGGCAGGCCCCCTGCTTTGCTTAGTATCCCACAGGAGTATTGAGTGAGCCTGTACTTGACTCTGGCTCTCCTGACTCTAACCCAGTGCTCTTCCCACTCTTCCATATTGTGACTTATCAGCAGCTTTAGAGCACAGGCAGCTTCTGTGTTTGTGGATTTGTAATTCTCGCTGTATGTTAAACTTTCACTTCTCCCAGTACTTTTGTTCATATCAGTCCTCTCCTTACCCCACCCTCTTGGCTTCCATGTTCCAGCTCATGCCCCTAAACTCACCCCAGGAAACTCATCCTGCCCAACTCCTGACAGAAGCTGGGTAACCTGTGTACCAGGCATACAGCATGTTAATATATGCGCATCCAGAACTTTTTAGATCAAATAGAGCTCATACTCTGTAGTGGTGATGAAGACAGACCAGATCCCTGCCATCAGAGAGTGCACAGCCCATTTTCCATCTCCTCCACATAGAGGGCTAGTTGAGAGCCGGAGTCTTGTCTCATCAAACACATTCTCTGCATACATCATGCCAAATACAAGGATGTAAATACCCAGTAAAGGTTTGTTAATTAGTTACTTACTGTTTCCTGAACTGACCCAGAGTTCTTGGCTGATGGACCTTTCTTATCTTTTTTTTTTTTTACCTTTTGTACCTCTCTCTCCATGTCTATTTAAATCCTACTCATCCTTTAAAGCCGGCTCTAATGTCTTTGTAGCTTTCTTCAGGAAACCATTGCCAATCCCTCTCCCTATGACCATAATCTGAATTAATCTCTTCCTCCTCTGTCTTCTGAACAGCATTTTGGCTTACTGCTTTGTTACAGCAGTCATTATGCTTTTCCTTGTATCAGAATCATGACGTG